ATATTTTCGCGATAATATTCGGCACTTATTCTAATGCCATTGTCGATTAATACGAGCGGAGAGTGACCATCGGCTGTTATGGCGGCCCACACCATCACCATGGCCGGCGCTTGAGTTCTGGTGGCCAACCGAAGGTGCACATTTTCAGCTGACCTCTTTGGCAAGTAAACACGATCATTTTGTTTGTTTACAACCTGCTGGACAACGAATGTTTTCTCATCGGAGGCGGAGAAAATAAAATTCGGCAGTTCAGCTCTTTTGAGTCTATTTTAATTCTGTTGCTGTTGCGGTGTAAGTTCTTGCACTTTTTGGAATTTCAATGGCTTTACCCCGAGCTCATTTTTCAGTGTTTGCCGAACGAAATATTGCGATATGTTCAGCTCACGAACCATTTTTCGGCCACTGCGACGCGGGTTTCGATAAAATCGCCGCTTTACTTTTCGAACCATTTCTGCTGATGTTGCTGTTTTCTTCCGTCCACTTCCTTGACGTCGGGCTGCGCTAACAGTATCACAGTAAGGAGCGACGGTACGAGACACAAAAGATTTATTCACATTTAAATGTGAAAAACTGTCTAAAAAATATTTAAATTTGTGTGCATACTTTTAGGATGTTGCAGATTGGCTAGTGACAAACATTCTTAGAAATATTTGAATTTTAGTGCATACTTTTAGGCTCAACAATTAATATATTTGATTTTATGTGTTCTTGAGGAGTTTGGCTTTAAATTACCGTTTATACGTCCACGTTATCGTATAGCCCCTATATAACATTAGACCCCCCCCCTTATTTTTGTATTTCGATGATTTTAGCCACATTTTTCAATTGGAATTGAAGTTCTTTGTGAGTACTTTACTCCCTGAAAGAGAATTGTCTATATAGCTCTACGATATGGTATATCTCCCATATAACGGTACCCCCGATATTCGGTATTTTGATGATTTAAGCCACATTTTTCAATGAATTTGTCTTAAAATCCACAAAAGGATTTCCTTGTGAGTACTTTATTCCCAAGAAGAGAATTGTCTACATAGGTCCACGATATCGTATACACCCCCTCCCTCCATGTAACGGTGCCACCCGATATTCGGTATTTTCATGACCTTAAAGGAGTTCACAGATTTTTTAAAAATATTTGCAGGGCCCTATAGGACTTCGCGATTTTTTATAAAATTATTTTTGCGTTCAAATAACTTCGAGGATTTTTAAAAATATATAATGATAAGCGCCATCTTGATATTCATACTAAAAAAAATCGCAGTACATATGTAACAGTCGCCTCAGATTTGTTTTCCGATTCTAAATGTATATGTATACCCATTTAGGTGCGAAGCAAGACAGACCTATGACAAATTCGTGCTCTAGAACCGCGAATTATCTACAAATATCATTGCTATTGGATTAGTATGGTGAGAGCCACCTTGATATAATGGTTTGAGTTGCGACAATAGAAGGCAAAACGAGCTATAAAATAAAATGAACGCCAAAAGACATGAACTCACAACCATCTAAGAAATCAACCAAAATGGCCAAGGCTGTTGTGTGCAGCCCATAAGAAAGTTTTATAAAACACCAATATAAAAAATATGTATATGTACATACATATGTGGTACGATGAGAGCCACCTTAATATAATGGTTTAGGTTATGACGATAGGAGGCAAAACGAGCTAGAAAATAAATTTACCTCAAAAGGAGATGAACTCAAAACCATATTTGAAATCAACCAAAATGGCCAAGGCAGCCCATAAGAAAGTCTTATAAAAACACCAATATAAAAATATATGTATGTGTATATATATGTATGTGTATCGAAAATAATACTTAAATTCACTGCATTTCATTGAATGCCAGATTTTCTTTGAAAACTAGGATCTAAACTGTCTAATAATTCAATTCCGAAACTGCTTAAAATCTTTTATGAACGTCCTGAAATGTATGTACGTTTCTTCGTATCATTAATTAAACAAAACAATAAATACAAACACAAAATTGGCAGAAGTCGAGCGTACTTAGAACAAAATTTGAGCAGAAAATGTACATTAAAAAAATATTGAAAAAGTTTTGGGAAAAAAATAATTCCTCAAAATTTTTGCAAATATTAGAAAGAAGTCTATGAATTAGATTTCAAGTATGGTATAATAAAAAGGTATAATCTACCATACCTTTTTATTGTACCATACTTGAAATCTAATTCACAAACTTTTTTCTAATATTTGCCAAAATGTTCAGGAATTATTTTTCCCTTATTGATTTCAATTCCGAAGATGTTTTTTATTCTTAAATTCATATTCTGGTATGAGAAGGTGAGAAATACAAAAGCCAAAAAGAAAGTAAGAAAAGTAACATCGCAACTTGCCATTCGTTATTGGTTTTGTTCAATTCCAAGAAGCTGTTGGTATTTGCCATAGAAAATTCCCTAAGGTTTTGTAGGCAATTTTTTCTTAGGAATAACCAATGGAACAGGTTATGGCCAGTAATAAAGAATATTTTGTATCATGATATGTTGGGAATTTTCTTTTGAGGGATATTGAGTTTGTATATAAAAAGTTTTTGGCTACTTGAGAGTAAAATAAAACAAGAAAAAAACACCATTCATGTCTATTTGAAAATTCAAATTAAATATTTAAATATATACATAATGTTATCTATAAGAAGAATCTAAGGCTGTGTTTTGAAACGCAAAAAAAATAAGTTTAAATGTAAAAATTAAAAAACCTAAGATATTTAAAATAAATTATGAATTAAATTTCGTTTTAAATTGTAAATTAAATAATTATCATTGTAAATGTATGTGAAATTAAATTAAAGACAATATTTTATTTTTAAGATAACAACCCACACACACACACACCCATCCATCTGAAATGTAAACCAAATTAAAAATAGATTTAAGTATCTTTAATATTACATTTTCCTTAATCTGCTCTACGTTCAAGTTTGTAATTAAATTCTTAACCGTCCTTACTCTTTATCATCCAGGATTGGGAACCTGGAATATCAGATAAAAGCTAAAGTCCTATTATTAAAATAAAGGGCTCCTGGACTAGGGCTATATCAATTTTAGACATCGTGGGAAAACAAAGCGACTTCTTAGGAAGGCCCCTCCGGCCTTATGTGTGGCCACCATCATAGCCATTCCGTAGTTCTTGGCAGCTTCCAGTGCCTTTAAAACCAGCCCTTTGTCCTTGACAGATTCCAGTGCTAAGACTTCAACCACCTTCAACGACCTTCAAGATCTCCTTCAACTCCTGAACTAGGGCTACATCAATTTTAGACATCGAGAGGGTTAGTAGAAGTTTTTGCAGACGCGGCCTTGTCGAACTTGATGAGGCCAGACGCCATTACACCATCTATTTGCATTGCGGGAAGACAAAGCGACTTCTTAGGAAGGCCTCTCCGGCCTTATGTGTAGCCACCATCATAGCTGGTTCTTGGCAGCTTCCAGTGCCTTTAAAACCGTTGTCCTTGACAGATTCCAGTGCTAAGACTTCAGCCACCTTCAAGATCTCATTCAACTTCATTACAGGAGGCCGAATCCATACAGAAGCTATCATATCACATCGGATCATTGATACAGGCTCAGCGGCGACCTAACTGCCTTCCCAAAGCGATTAATGGCCATTAACTGCAGCCATTAAAGATCAACAGATTCCTGATTGTCGCAGGTAATGAGCCTGGCTCCCCTGTAAAACGCAGCACGGCCAATCCGCACGTTGCTCTACTCCACCTCATCGGAAAGGTAGATGCACTGGGTTCCCGTCGATCAGTGGCCAATAATGCTCGCTGATGAACCCATTGAGATCATTCCCTGATTAATGTTCGGTACTCTTAGATACTCCGGTGAAATATATTGAGCAGATGGACAGTTCTACTTCGCCTGTGGTTCGCAAGGCTTCTGCGAAGCGGCAAATGCTGTTTCATCTTTCCTTTCCCTATGAGTGTGCTTCTCACTGTCCTTTTTCGCCACAACCGAAGCACGTGGGTCGGACGGTTTTCCGCCTGTGTTGTCACCTTTTTCTACTGCTCGGATTACTGCCCCTCAGTTAACTCCATCCTCTTCACCGTCACTGGCTGCGAGGTGGATTTAGTGACTTTGGAGCCATGATTAATGTCCGCTACCCTTAGATCCTACGGTGTCGTCCGTTGTTGGTTGCGGGTTGCTGCCCCACAGTTGACCTTTAGTCGTCTTTAAGGCAGCATTCTTTCATAAAGTCTGCGCTTCCGTGGCGGTGTGTCCATCTGCCGTCTTTTCGTGACCACATTCTTGGCAAACATTGCCCTGCCCATCTGTGTCTTCACCTTCAACACCGTAGCGATAGGTGGAGACGGTGACATCACAGCTGGGCTCAGCAGAATCTGTTTGGAAAAATTAGAGGCAGACATCGAACTGGTCTTCCTCCTCACAGGCAATTTCAAGATCTGAAGACTTCGTTGTAGCATTATCTTCCTAAGAATAGTGGTATATCAGAATCCTTTATAATATATCGCTTACGTTCCGTCTCCTTCGAAGCCAACTTTTTCAGGTAAGCTGAAACTTTCCACAGTCGCCGCATTTTTTGAGGCCTCGACAGGTTTTACTGCTGCTCTGTAAGTGGAGATCATGCTCATCGAGAGACGGGATAGTTCCTCTCGAATTTCCTAAGAACTTCAGGTTCGTCCTGATAAGCTGTAACTTCTTATCAGTGAGTTTGACCGGATCCCCATGAATATAACGACTGCTGCAGTTGTTGTTGTTGTAGCAGCTCATACATCTGTGTTCGTTCGGTTTCCATTTCTTACTCAGTTCAATCGGGTTCTGCCTCTAAGTCCAGTTGTTGTTGTAGCAGCTGCTGCTGCTATGTTCGTTCTGATTCTTCTCAATTTAGTTCTACTTCTAGATTGGGTCTATAACGATACCGGAGACGGTCCCAACGCGTATTGGGGCCATCTGGGTTCTAATTATGCTAAAACTATTCGGATTTTTCGGTGCAGCTCTAGCTCTTCAGCTACGATGGGATTTTTAAGCTTTTTTTTTCTCTCGCCTCATTGGATTTAGTACTTTGGCGACCGGGGAATTCAGCGACACTTTTATTCCCCTTGCCTAGAGAGGAAGGGCTTATGGGTACTGATCGACAATGTAGAGGCGGGACCACTAGGAATGTCCCTGACTGTGAATTTAAAATATGACGAGAGGTCACGAGAGCATTAAAGGATCCTATTTATATGGGAATTTGCACAGAAGTTTTGTTTATTAGAGGGCCGAAACATCACCTCGTCAGTCTATGTAATTTCCCTACTTGCAGCAAAGTCTTACATAGATCTACTATTTGGATTTTGAGTACATCAAGGAATTCAAATGCTTTTTCTAAAAAATTGCAGTAATTTGCCGCGATTCGTATTTCAGAAGGAAATTTACAATATAGGTCTACTTATATATTTTTTTTCAAGGTAAGTCCAGATTTTGACGCATGCCCCTTTTAAGAATTTTTTTTTTTCACACGAAAGAATTCTGCATAAAATAACCGTAGAAACCATTACCAAATATGTTTTATGCATTGATGGTTGTTAACCTACTTGACTTTTGATGTAATAATTGTGTACATAGTTCCACATCAACAGATGTTTGTATATACATACATGCTGGTATATAACCCCTATTAACCAATGTATAATAGTTTTGTTGAAATTTAAATTTCCTCAATTAAACGAATCAGTCAAACTGAATATTAACAATGTAAGTGGTTATCCAATGAAATCAATAAATAATGTATGTATATTGTGTAAAATATGTTGTGTTTGTTCTGTGAAAAACTTACTGTGATTTAATAGATTTGATGCATCAGTAAAGTTCATCACGAAGTTTGTTTGTACATTTTCTGGCACATAGTCTGACGAGCTTTAATCTACAATGAGAAAAAAAATGAATGAATAATAGAAAAAAACAATTAAATACAAAAGAAACTACTACTTACCAATCTAATTTTAAAAGTCCCAAATTTAAAAGATTTGTTTTCATATTCCTGAAATAAAAGTTAAAAGAAATGAAATAATTTTTTTCATTTTTATGTTTTTATGTTGAAATCCAAAATTTGTAAAAATATTCTGTATGAAATCGTAGTTTTTGTACTTCCTCGTTAAGCATAGGTTTTTTTCAAATATTCAAAAGTAAAATTGAAAATATTTCAACTTAAGTTTTCCATGAGCATTTTCAAGTGTCTTCGTGTTTAAAGAATTTTGAGATATTAGTTAAGAGGCAGATTAGTTACACTTTTATTCAAACATGAATCATTCATATATTATTAATCATTTACCCACTAAATCATTACGAAAATAATTTTTAAAACTCAAGTAAACTGGAATTCAAATGGAAATTCGTTACTGAAAAGATTTTGTGTGAATTTTGGTTTTCAAGATAGTAGTTATATTCTTAGTTAAAATTGTTAATTTAAATTATTCACAAACAATAAATTATCAAAAGTGATTATATTGTTGAAAAAAAAAACATAATATCAAGATAGACATACAAAAATTCATGTAAATAAATAAATAAAAACAAGTTTATACAAACATAAATTATATACAATAAGTTAAAGTTAATTATATTTACCATCAAATTGTTATATTCTTCTAATATAGATCATCAACGAAATTTTATTCAATAAAAGTTTGTATGTATTTTGAGTGTAAAATATTGTGTTTTCTTAATGAACGGTAAAAGGAGTAGCTTGGAGAAAATTATTCAAAAAGTTTACCCGTTGTGGGAGGTACCAAAGGGAGTGGTCCCACATATCTTTATCTTCACGCCTGTTTTTGTGTTGAAAGAAATATTGAATTGTGAATTGTGAATTGTGAAGAGAATCCGATGTTTATTTCGACTTTTTTAAGAGATATAATTACCCGAAGGATTGGACCGATATGTCCCCCCTTCACACCACATCTTGTGTTAATAAAAATATTGGAATGTGTGAAATTTGAAAACAATCGGACTCTTATTTCACATGTTAGAAGAGTTATAACTATTCAAAATTTTGACCCTTTGTGGAGCAGGTACTTGATGTAATGGTGCGATATATTCCGTCTTCACACCAAATTTTAGGATGTCCGAAATTTGAAGACAATCGGACTCTGTCTTCACATTTCATAAGAGATATATTTATTCCAAATTTTTGCCGCCCTGTGGAGAGGTTCCAGACGGAATGGTCCGATATGTTTCGTCTACACACCTGATATTGTGTTGAAAGAAATATTACGATGTGCAAAATTTGAAGACAATGAGTTATAATTATTTCAAATTTTGATGTTTTGTGGGGGAGGCACTTGATGGAGTGGGCCGATAAAGTCCATTTTAGCACTGTCAAAAATATTGGGATTTGCAAAGTTTGCACAAAATCGAATTATACTCTTTCTATTAATTATTTTCTTTGAAAAGTTTTATCTTTTGTGGGGGAGGTATCAGAAGGAGTTAAGCGATATATGTCATCTTCACATCAGACCTTGGGTTAATAAAAATATTGAGATGTGTGGAATTTGAAGACAATCGGACACTTACATCACATTTTATAAAAGTTATAATTATTCCAAATTTTAACCCTTTTGTGTGCACCAGCCAGCCAGACGGATGTTCGAACCGACACGTCTAGATCGACTCCAAATATCCTGAAACAGATTTGGTTCAAAGAGACCTAGGGTCCAAAACCGTTATTTCGATGAGATACGTTTCGGCGCGTCAAATGATATATAACCTTTGCAACCATATGACTGAGGATATAACAAGTACAAAAGCAGCTAAGTTCGGACGTGACGAACCTTTAATACCCTCTACCATTTGGAAGAAAATTGCAAAAGGTAAAAAAGTCCGTTGAAAAATGTCGCTAAAATTTATATTTATATGAGGCCATAAGAGCGAGGGCGAGGCCTACTACGAACTCCAAATACCAACTTTGAGATAATTTCGTTGAAAACTGTAAGTAAAAGTCATAAAAATTCGAAATATAGGAAGGTACTGTTGTATTGGCGGCTATACGAAGACGTTGGCAATTTTCTTCCAGTGGAGGTGGTATCCATTACGAACTCCAAATACCAAATTTGGTACAATTCATGTAACGAAAATTATGAAAAAGCCGAGTATCGGTGGTACGGTTATGTGGGGACTTTACATAATCTTCTATCTATATTGGCAGTTGTTTGGAAGGATATTTCCCCACTTAAAGGGAAACATAAACTGCAAATTTACAAACATACAACTCGCAAAATTCTGTCCAAAAATGTGACCAAAACCGCCAAGACACCTTCAATCTGGCGGTACAATTAGTTAATAAAAATGTGGAGCTAAAATTCATCTCATCAAAAACATTTGTTCAATCTACTTCATTTTGTTTAGAAGCTAGAATGATTTCCACGGACAAGCGTTTGCTAAATCGACATAGAATAAAAAAGCTTATTTCGCGGAGTTACAACCGAAATGACACTCAATATACCCTCTATAGTATGTATGGTGAAGGGTATAACAAAAGCAAATATACAATTAACTTGAAACAAGCAAAACGGCATTAAATTTTGACCATGCCGAAGTGCTAATACCATCTCAAAACGAAAAAATTATAGCCAATTTGGCTGATCAAAGAGCAGAGCCCTTCTTGTGTCAATGACTAAATATAGTTAAAAATTTTACTCAAGTCGCTCAATACAACAATCTTTGGGGATTTAATTGTAGAAAATATGTTCAAATTTGAAAATACCGCCAGGACTGGAGCTTATACAAAATTTTGAACCGATGAAATATTTTCGTAAATCAGATTTTCGTTCAATGGGGGCACAAATTGCCAGTCAATTCTATTAGAAACCGAAACCTTCGAAATACTGCATTTCAAAAGGTTCTACTTTATGGAGATCATAACAAATTATGGGTGTCTTAAAATATGGAAAGCCAAATTATAACGAATTTGGTGAAAACTACTTCAGATCAATCTCTAAACCAATTATATTGGACTGCCAACTCAAAATTATTTTGTTTTCTTCTACTGATTGAATACCATCACCTCAATCCTAGACCAACTATCAATCAAAGCGATAAAAAAAACTTGAAAACAATGTAAAGTTGCAAAAAATGGGATATATGGGGTTATTTGCCGCACATTTTCTGTGAAGAGGGGTTCTACCCTTTGAGAAAACAAACTGCAGAATTACAGCAAAATTATTTGAAAATATGGCAGAAAACTTCGATCGATACCTTACAAAGAATTCAAAATATTAAAGCTCGGACGAATCGGTTGCAACGTATTTCTAAGACTCCAAAACGCACTTGAAATCGGATTTGATTTTAATATGGATAAAATAGCAAACCAGGGATCGAGATGTAGAAATTTATATCAAATTTCGCCTGTAAGGCTTCTGCGAAGCGGCAAATGCTGTTTCATCTTTCCTTTCCCTATGAGTGTGCTTCTCACTGTCCTTTTTCGCCACAACCGAAGCACGTGGGTCGGACGGTTTTCCGCCTGTGTTGTCACCTTTTTCTACTGCTCGGATTACTGCCCCTCAGTTAACTCCATCCTCTTCACCGTCACTGGCTGCGAGGTGGATTTAGTGACTTTGGAGCCATGATTAATGTCCGCTACCCTTAGATCCTACGGTGTCGTCCGTTGTTGGTTGCGGGTTGCTGCCCCACAGTTGACCTTTAGTCGTCTTTAAGGCAGCATTCTTTCATAAAGTCTGCGCTTCCGTGGCGGTGTGTCCATCTGCCGTCTTTTCGTGACCACATTCTTGGCAAACATTGCCCTGCCCATCTGTGTCTTCACCTTCAACACCGTAGCGATAGGTGGAGACGGTGACATCACAGCTGGGCTCAGCAGAATCTGTTTGGAAAAATTAGAGGCAGACATCGAACTGGTCTTCCTCCTCACAGGCAATTTCAAGATCTGAAGACTTCGTTGTAGCATTATCTTCCTAAGAATAGTGGTATATCAGAATCCTTTATAATATATCGCTTACGTTCCGTCTCCTTCGAAGCCAACTTTTTCAGGTAAGCTGAAACTTTCCACAGTCGCCGCATTTTTTGAGGCCTCGACAGGTTTTACTGCTGCTCTGTAAGTGGAGATCATGCTCATCGAGAGACGGGATAGTTCCTCTCGAATTTCCTAAGAACTTCAGGTTCGTCCTGATAAGCTGTAACTTCTTATCAGTGAGTTTGACCGGATCCCCATGAATATAACGACTGCTGCAGTTGTTGTTGTTGTAGCAGCTCATACATCTGTGTTCGTTCGGTTTCCATTTCTTACTCAGTTCAATCGGGTTCTGCCTCTAAGTCCAGTTGTTGTTGTAGCAGCTGCTGCTGCTATGTTCGTTCTGATTCTTCTCAATTTAGTTCTACTTCTAGATTGGGTCTATAACGATACCGGAGACGGTCCCAACGCGTATTGGGGCCATCTGGGTTCTAATTATGCTAAAACTATTCGGATTTTTCGGTGCAGCTCTAGCTCTTCAGCTACGATGGGATTTTTAAGCTTTTTTTTCTCTCGCCTCATTGGATTTAGTACTTTGGCGACCGGGGAATTCAGCGACACTTTTATTCCCCTTGCCTAGAGAGGAAGGGCTTATGGGTACTGATCGACAATGTAGAGGCGGGACCACTAGGAATGTCCCTGACTGTGAATTTAAAATATGACGAGAGGTCACGAGAGCATTAAAGGATCCTATTTATATGGGAATTTGCACAGAAGTTTTGTTTATTAGAGGGCCGAAACATCACCTCGTCAGTCTATGTAATTTCCCTACTTGCAGCAAAGTCTTACATAGATCTACTATTTGGATTTTGAGTACATCAAGGAATTCAAATGCTTTTTCTAAAAAATTGCAGTAATTTGCCGCGATTCGTATTTCAGAAGGAAATTTACAATATAGGTCTACTTATATATTTTTTTTCAAGGTAAGTCCAGATTTTGACGCATGCCCCTTTTAAGAATTTTTTTTTTTCACACGAAAGAATTCTGCATAAAATAACCGTAGAAACCATTACCAAATATGTTTTATGCATTGATGGTTGTTAACCTACTTGACTTTTGATGTAATAATTGTGTACATAGTTCCACATCAACAGATGTTTGTATATACATACATGCTGGTATATAACCCCTATTAACCAATGTATAATAGTTTTGTTGAAATTTAAATTTCCTCAATTAAACGAATCAGTCAAACTGAATATTAACAATGTAAGTGGTTATCCAATGAAATCAATAAATAATGTATGTATATTGTGTAAAATATGTTGTGTTTGTTCTGTGAAAAACTTACTGTGATTTAATAGATTTGATGCATCAGTAAAGTTCATCACGAAGTTTGTTTGTACATTTTCTGGCACATAGTCTGACGAGCTTTAATCTACAATGAGAAAAAAAATGAATGAATAATAGAAAAAAACAATTAAATACAAAAGAAACTACTACTTACCAATCTAATTTTAAAAGTCCCAAATTTAAAAGATTTGTTTTCATATTCCTGAAATAAAAGTTAAAAGAAATGAAATAATTTTTTTCATTTTTATGTTTTTATGTTGAAATCCAAAATTTGTAAAAATATTCTGTATGAAATCGTAGTTTTTGTACTTCCTCGTTAAGCATAGGTTTTTTTCAAATATTCAAAAGTAAAATTGAAAATATTTCAACTTAAGTTTTCCATGAGCATTTTCAAGTGTCTTCGTGTTTAAAGAATTTTGAGATATTAGTTAAGAGGCAGATTAGTTACACTTTTATTCAAACATGAATCATTCATATATTATTAATCATTTACCCACTAAATCATTACGAAAATAATTTTTAAAACTCAAGTAAACTGGAATTCAAATGGAAATTCGTTACTGAAAAAGATTTTGTGTGAATTTTGGTTTTCAAGATAGTAGTTATATTCTTAGTTAAAATTGTTAATTTAAATTATTCACAAACAATAAATTATCAAAAGTGATTATATTGTTGAAAAAAAAAACATAATATCAAGATAGACATACAAAAATTCATGTAAATAAATAAATAAAAACAAGTTTATACAAACATAAATTATATACAATAAGTTAAAGTTAATTATATTTACCATCAAATTGTTATATTCTTCTAATATAGATCATCAACGAAATTTTATTCAATAAAAGTTTGTATGTATTTTGAGTGTAAAATATTGTGTTTTCTTAATGAACGGTAAAAGGAGTAGCTTGGAGAAAATTATTCAAAAAGTTTACCCGTTGTGGGAGGTACCAAAGGGAGTGGTCCCACATATCTTTATCTTCACGCCTGTTTTTGTGTTGAAAGAAATATTGAATTGTGAATTGTGAATTGTGAAGAGAATCCGATGTTTATTTCGACTTTTTTAAGAGATATAATTACCCGAAGGATTGGACCGATATGTCCCCCCTTCACACCACATCTTGTGTTAATAAAAATATTGGAATGTGTGAAATTTGAAAACAATCGGACTCTTATTTCACATGTTAGAAGAGTTATAACTATTCAAAATTTTGACCCTTTGTGGAGCAGGTACTTGATGTAATGGTGCGATATATTCCGTCTTCACACCAAATTTTAGGATGTCCGAAATTTGAAGACAATCGGACTCTGTCTTCACATTTCATAAGAGATATATTTATTCCAAATTTTTGCCGCCCTGTGGAGAGGTTCCAGACGGAATGGTCCGATATGTTTCGTCTACACACCTGATATTGTGTTGAAAGAAATATTACGATGTGCAAAATTTGAAGACAATGAGTTATAATTATTTCAAATTTTGATGTTTTGTGGGGGAGGCACTTGATGGAGTGGGCCGATAAAGTCCATTTTAGCACTGTCAAAAATATTGGGATTTGCAAAGTTTGCACAAAATCGAATTATACTCTTTCTATTAATTATTTTCTTTGAAAAGTTTTATCTTTTGTGGGGGAGGTATCAGAAGGAGTTAAGCGATATATGTCATCTTCACATCAGACCTTGGGTTAATAAAAATATTGAGATGTGTGGAATTTGAAGACAATCGGACACTTACATCACATTTTATAAAAGTTATAATTATTCCAAATTTTAACCCTTTTGTGTGCACCAGCCAGCCAGACGGATGTTCGAACCGACACGTCTAGATCGACTCCAAATATCCTGAAACAGATTTGGTTCAAAGAGACCTAGGGTCCAAAACCGTTATTTCGATGAGATACGTTTCGGCGCGTCAAATGATATATAACCTTTGCAACCATATGACTGAGGATATAACAAGTACAAAAGCAGCTAAGTTCGGACGTGACGAACCTTTAATACCCTCTACCATTTGGAAGAAAATTGCAAAAGGTAAAAAAGTCCGTTGAAAAATGTCGCTAAAATTTATATTTATATGAGGCCATAAGAGCGAGGGCGAGGCCTACTACGAACTCCAAATACCAACTTTGAGATAATTTCGTTGAAAACTGTAAGTAAAAGTCATAAAAATTCGAAATATAGGAAGGTACTGTTGTATTGGCGGCTATACGAAGACGTTGGCAATTTTCTTCCAGTGGAGGTGGTATCCATTACGAACTCCAAATACCAAATTTGGTACAATTCATGTAACGAAAATTATGAAAAAGCCGAGTATCGGTGGTACGGTTATGTGGGGACTTTACATAATCTTCTATCTATATTGGCAGTTGTTTGGAAGGATATTTCCCCACTTAAAGGGAAACATAAACTGCAAATTTACAAACATACAACTCGCAAAATTCTGTCCAAAAATGTGACCAAAACCGCCAAGACACCTTCAATCTGGCGGTACAATTAGTTAATAAAAATGTGGAGCTAAAATTCATCTCATCAAAAACATTTGTTCAATCTACTTCATTTTGTTTAGAAGCTAGAATGATTTCCACGGACAAGCGTTTGCTAAATCGACATAGAATAAAAAAGCTTATTTCGCGGAGTTACAACCGAAATGACACTCAATATACCCTCTATAGTATGTATGGTGAAGGGTATAACAAAAGCAAATATACAATTAACTTGAAACAAGCAAAACGGCATTAAATTTTGACCATGCCGAAGTGCTAATACCATCTCAAAACGAAAAAATTATAGCCAATTTGGCTGATCAAAGAGCAGAGCCCTTCTTGTGTCAATGACTAAATATAGTTAAAAATTTTACTCAAGTCGCTCAATACAACAATCTTTGGGGATTTAATTGTAGAAAATATGTTCAAATTTGAAAATACCGCCAGGACTGGAGCTTATACAAAATTTTGAACCGATGAAATATTTTCGTAAATCAGATTTTCGTTCAATGGGGGCACAAATTGCCAGTCAATTCTATTAGAAACCGAAACCTTCGAAATACTGCATTTCAAAAGGTTCTACTTTATGGAGATCATAACAAATTATGGGTGTCTTAAAATATGGAAAGCCAAATTATAACGAATTTGGTGAAAACTACTTCAGATCAATCTCTAAACCAATTATATTGGACTGCCAACTCAAAATTATTTTGTTTTCTTCTACTGATTGAATACCATCACCTCAATCCTAGACCAACTATCAATCAAAGCGATAAAAAAAACTTGAAAACAATGTAAAGTTGCAAAAAATGGGATATATGGGGTTATTTGCCGCACATTTTCTGTGAAGAGGGGTTCTACCCTTTGAGAAAACAAACTGCAGAATTACAGCAAAATTATTTGAAAATATGGCAGAAAACTTCGATCGATACCTTACAAAGAATTCAAAATATTAAAGCTCGGACGAATCGGTTGCAACGTATTTCTAAGACTCCAAAACGCACTTGAAATCGGATTTGATTTTAATATGGATAAAATAGCAAACCAGGGATCGAGATGTAGAAATTTATATCAAATTTCGCCTGTATTAGGTTTTACAGGAAATGATGGAATGGGGTTTGGGCGGCAGATAATTTTTAAATGATAAAAATTACTAATAACCTTTGTTTTTTTAAGTTTTGAACTATAAACTTGAATCAATATTTTGAGACACACTTTTCTTTACAAAACGAATATAGATTGAATTGAATATCAATACATAATCTGGAAACAGTTGCAGCTAAAAACGAATATAAAATTTACCTTTCTTAATTCTAACAATTGGCGCTACTTGATTTTCTTGTTTCAACAGCATCACATCTGGAATTTCTTCTTTCGAAATGCATTCATTAAAGTTGAAGGACTTGATAAGGTTTCGAGTTTTTATTATTCCCCGACTTTGACTTGCTTATTCTAGTATTGGCTCCTTACTTCTTTCCTTAAATGCTATTTTGCTATTTATTGTAGATTTTTGGAATTTGCTTGCTGGTTTTCTTGACTTTTCATTTTATATTTCTTTTTGTTATAAAATTCATTTCACGTTTTTTTTTCGTATCACTTGAAGTCTTAAATCAAAACTAAATTAGACATTTATTAATCCATAGAGTAGTATATAGCCATCAATGCTATACGGAGTTCATCTAGAGCTAACCGCCTCTTTACGAGCAGCATCTTGCAGCAATTGTGTGTCAACCTCATCGCCCGGCAGTTGGACATAGCGTACAACGGAACCACGTATGAAACAATTTTTCACCGACAACATGTGGGGATATTTCTCAGGATCGGTGACACTGATGTCTGTGAGTTTTATATTCAAATATTGGTCCACCGAATGCAAAGTACCGCAAATACTGCAAAACATGAATGAACAAATTAAACATTTGCGAAAATTGGTGGGAAATTGGCAATGCTTACCTTAAATCATTTTTAAGCTCCACCACAACATCTTTGCCGACCAGCGATTTGAAGAATGAATAAAATAACTGAAAGTATTCAAATAGGGTTAAGTTTTTACTATATTGAGAGGAAAATACTGAATATACTTGCCATTTTTATTGAATTTTATTAACTTCTTGCCGCATAAACAAAACGTTTTAATAACCAACCGATAACTAGTGTTGCCTAGGTCGCAAATTGCCTAGTTCAATTCACTAATCGATTCATCAAAGGGAGCAACAGATCAAGTTCTTCCCAATGTATAACACATTTCTCCATGCATATTTAGGTAAATCTGGCTCACACCATATAATATTGGCGGCGTTTTAATAATACAATTAAACTCATGGTGGAATAAAAAGGCAAGGTAGAGCTACAGCTGATGACAATTTTTTTTTTAAGTGTGACGGACTTCTGCCTACTATGTGTATATATTTTTTTTAATAATTTTTTAAATAAAAACAAAATATGTTCAATACAAATGAGTGAAAGAAACGTACATTTCGGGTCGCACAGCATATCTATTTACCAGTTTTGCCATGAAATTAAAAGATTGAGCACTTTCCCCACAAATATATCATGTTTATATAGATTTAAGACCTGATTCAGATTTAAGCCCAAGAAAAGATAAATTAAATTTGTCTTCTTAAGATAAGAGTTTATTTATTAGTTTATAAATAAGAGATTATTCATTATTTTTGTAAAATATGCCATACATAAATATTTTAGGTATGAATATAATTTTTGTTGGAAAAATGACATTGTCGAGTTCTTTGGAAAAGGGTTGCCATACTCAATTTCGCAAATAGGACTACCTCTGTTGCTTTGCCATGTCCTTTACAAAAATTTGTGATATTATCTCGTTTTATTTAGTAGTTTTTGTGTATGTAGTGTTATTAACATTTAGTTGACAGATTTGTCTATGTTAATTTAATTTTGGTGCCAGATGGTGTTAATGAATGAATGGTTTGTGGCAGGGATATGCCGCAGCACCATTTATTAGTGCAATGAAATATTTAACAATAATAGAGGTCGCTAGATGGGGTTGTGAACATACATTTTCTATAAACCCAATATATATAAGTGAAACACTTTAAGAGATGTGGCAAAAGATCTATAAATCACTTTCAAAAAATTATTCCAATTTGTTGTATTTCAACTATTTGTAACATCGAAATATATATTTTAGACCCCACAAGTTTTATATATTCTTGATCAGCATAAAATTCTTTGTCGATGTCCATCCGTCTGTGGAAATCACTCTAGCTTCCGAACAAAATAAAATAAGTTGATAAATTTTTACTCAAATGTACAGGGTGAGATAAAAATACTGCAGCAAAGCCAAATGCCATAATTGTACATTTTTTCTTAAATTTTATTGAATAAAAGCAAACATTTTCGGAAATAGCATCAAATTTTTGAAGAATTTTAGATTTTGGCACAAACTATGGACTTCAAACGGCCAATGAAATCGTCGCACGCTGCCCGAATATTGTTCTGCGGTATTTTGGCCCATTCCCGGCGAAGCACTTCCTTGAGGTGATCGACACTTTGGTATTTTTTAGTGCCAACCTAGCTTTCTAAAATACTCCAGACACAATAGTCCAACGGATTGGTATCCGGAGATTTTGGTGGCCATTGTGCGCTGGAAATGAAGCGAGGAACCTCATTTTGTAACCATTCTTGGGTGGCGCGTGCTGAGTCCTGTTGGAATTTCCAAAGTCTGCGGCCAAAATGTTTGCGTGCCCAAGGCTTAAATACACCCTCCAGAATATTTTCGCGATAATATTCGGCATTTATTCTGATGCCACGGTCGATTAACATGAGCGGAGAGCGACCAACGGCTGTTATGGAGGTCCACACCATCACCATCGCCGAACACCATCCAATAAACAATGAATGATCCATGAAAAACTTGAGTTCTGGTGGCCAACCGAAGGTGTACAATTTCAGCTGACCGTTTTAACAAGTAAACACGATCTTTTTGTTTGTTTACAAATTGCTGGACAACGAATGTTTTCTCATCGGAGACGGAGAAAACCCAATTCGGCAGTTCACCACTTTCGGCCAAGCGAAGCAACTCTTTAGCTCTTTGAGTCTATTTTCTTTCTGTTGCGGTGTAAGTTCTTGTACTTTTGGGAATTTCAATGGCTTTACCCCGAGCTCATTTTTCAATATTTGCCGAATGGAATATTGCGTTATGTTGAACTCACGAACCATTTTTCGGCCACTGCGACGCGGGTTTCGATCAAGTCGCTTCTGAATTTTTGGAACCATTTCTGCTGATCTTGCTGTTTTTTTCCGTCCACTTCCTTGACGTCGGGCTACGCTACCAGAATCACTTTAACGAGCGATAGTACGAGGATCAAAATATTTACTCACATTTAAATGCTGGAGTGCTCTAACGATAGCCACTTGTGGTTTTCCAGCCATATATAAAGTAATCACACTATCACGCTTGAATTCCATCACGAACAACTTTGTTTCAGGAAAATTCTCACCAAATTGCTTTTGTACGCTTGTAAACAATATAAAGAGCTGTCACTGGAATAATTTTAACAGCTGTCGAACGAGTGGCTTAGAAATGAAAGCAGTCTAAAGTAGGTTGCAGTTTTTTCATCTCACCCAGTATAATAAAACTTTAAATTATTTTTTGGTTAATAATATATGATTTTTTTATTCATAAACATTTGCATATATATGTATGATAGGTATTTATATTATTTACAATTATTTTAATAAATTTTAAACAATATTATAACTAAGTGACCAGCCTGAACCATCAAAATTCGGTGTGGTCTTCGATATTAAACGCACTACATTTGACGATGATTTAATTATTTCCCTAGGTGTATCAGGTCCGCACAATGTCTTCAACGGTTGTTCACTGCCATCGGGCATAATGTCGTACATTTGTAAATAGTCCAAATGACAATTGGCAATGGTGCCCATATTGAAGTCGAGAAATTTAATTTTTACACTATTTGGAGCTGGCACCTGAATGATCCATGAACAATTTGTAAACATGCGTTCATTCTCATAATTTGGACTAATGATCAGGCCTCTGTGCAAAGTATATGTACCACCACAGCCGGGAATCGAAGTACGTTGGCTGATGGAATAAAATACCAATCCGAATGTTACATTTACAGCCTCAATTTGCACCGTGCTCGTGTTAAGAAAAACAGCTACCGGTTTAAGAATATCTTCCGATCGATGAAAAACGGTAGTGTTGGTCTTGAGGTCAACTATCTGTAGTGACAAGATTTTTTTCTTAAAGGAACTCAATTTTTTTTCAAGGAATTATCCTACCTTGTAATGTTTGCCTTCATTGGGGTCACCAAACATTATGTCCCATATATAGAAATTGAGGTTGGTGTTTTCGGCAACAGTAACATTTGTTTGGCAGTTTTTCACACTGTACAAATAGTCCAAAAGTCCATTTGGATGAGAATATGTCTGACCGCATACTAAAAATGACAGAAATATATGTAATTAAATTTTCGTTTCTAAATAGTAAAATTTTAAATTGAAATGTTATTTTTTCAGCATTTTGACCATATACAGTGAGCATCAATATAAAGTATACAATTTTTGTATGACCGAGCTGCTTTGGGTTGTGGTAAAGCAACCATTCCTTTACTAGCATAGCAATATGCTTAGGGTCATTATTTTGTTAAAACCATGAAGATTTACTCAAGCCAAATTTTTCGATGTCTGCAAATATATGATGTCTGCAGGACTTTTGGTATTGAAAATGGGTCATGTAAGTCCACGTTTTGGTATAGCCCCCATATAACGGTACCTCCCGATATTCGGTATTTTGATGATTTTAGCTAAATTTTTCACCGGAATTGTTTCAAATTTGATATTTGAAGTTCGCAATGGGTACTAAAGCCTATGACAGAAAATTGTCTGTGCAGGTCCACGTTTTCGTATGGCTTCCATATAATAGTACCTTCCGATATTCGGTATTTTGATGATTTTAGTGACATTATTCACCGGAATTGTTTCAAATTTGATATTGGAAGTTTGAAACAGCCTAAGACAGAAGATTCTCTGTGCAGGTCAACGTCTTCGCATAGCCCTCATATAATGGTACCTCCCGATATTCTGTACTTTGATGATTTAAGCAATATTATTCACCGGAATTGTTTCAAATTGGGTATTTGAAGTTCGTAATGGATACTAAAGCCTATGACAGAAGATTGTCTGTGCAGGTCCACGTCTTCGTATAGCCCCCATATAATGGTAGCTCCCGATATTCGGTATTTTAATGATTTTAGCGACATTATTCACCGGAATTGTTTCAAAGTTGGTATTTGAAGTTCGAAATGGGTACTACAGCCTAAGACATAAAATTGTCTGTGCAGGTCCACGTCTTCGTATAGCCCCTATATAATAGTACCTCCCTATATTAATGATTTAGCTACATTATTGACCGAATTTTTTCGTTTCGCATTTGAATATTAAAATGACTTATGACAAAAGTTACATATGCAGGTCCTCGTCGTTGTTTAGGCTCTAATATGATAGCAACATCTGGCATTTTTAAGATTTTAACAGAATTTTTAACGAATTTTATTTATTTTTTTATTTAAAAATTGCCAAATTCGTTAAAAATGGTGGAGGGTATTCAAAGTTCGGTCCGGACGAACTTAAAGCTTTTTCATTTGTTATTTTTCCAAATTTTGACAGTTTTTTTCTCAAATTTGCTTTCGTTGCTTAACAGGGCATTGCTCCAGAAAGAATATATTTATTTTCATTTTTTTTCGGATACAAAAAGCGTCGCTTCTGATTGGTCTCTGTAATGTATTCGAGGATTCGATCAGAGATGCTATTTTCATGCGGCTCCCTACGTACTGTACTGGCATTTTTGTTTACGCCTGATAACTCCGACACATTGTTCGGTATTTTCAGAGGGATTAGCCTCCACCGTTCGTATTATTCTTCGAATTTGGGTCGTCGTGGTCTCCGAGGATAATCAATATTCTGCAATTTTCCAGCCTTTTTGTATTTGTCAATAATTTTTTAAGGAATTGTGATTTCTTTTGATTACATCGCCAATTTCTTTTAAAGTTTTTCCAATGGTAAGATTAAGAAGGTAAAGTCATTTCATTTTGATGAAAAAAAAAGGCCAAAAAACTTTTTTTTTTTATAAGAATGTGTGAATAGTGATCTCGAATGTATATTTATATGACCAATTGAGATAAAATGGTTAATTTTTTTAAATCTTTCTGCTTCCCACATCGGGTTTTTGACGCGTTAAATATGAATTGCATGGTACAATAGAAATGCCAATTTATTATAATAAAGCTAATGTTGAATAATTCTGACAGAAAGCTGCCATAGCTTTAGCAGCTTTATTTCAGTAGTTTTATGAAGTTGTTCTATCTCCTTATTGTACCATGTGTACCAGCAGTAAATAGTATTTTGACTGTTACATTATCAACCTACTAATCCCAATACCAATTAGGGATACCTAAGTCGACTTTCGACTAATTGATTAATAGTCTCTGTGATGAAAAGTAAAATATTATGTCAATTTTGTCTACTCTCCATACGACCTTAATCGTTTGAAGAGTCTTAATCAGAAAATAATTTATAACTGATTGGACAAAATATTCTTTATTTGATTGGCTCGTAGAATTTTTCTTGGATTGCGGAGATATTCTATGTCACGATCCTTAATATTTCCCCAAATCAATTTCCCATGTTCTCCCCTCTTTCAATATGTCCTCCCAATTTCCTGCAATACATACCACTTATAGGCTCAATTACAAGTTGAAATCCTTTAGCTTCCTCCGTGGCGTCACTGTGAAAAGTTATTTCGAATTTTTTATCTACTACTCCCCATTCGTATCCCAGATACGAAGAGCTATGGCCACAAAGTTGATGGAAATTCTATGAATGAAATCGATACTTATACACATTTCCATGATGATTTAAATTTTCAGTACTTACATAATATCTATTCACTCGTATATAGTCCAAACATTCACCAGATATTTGTGATACATTTTGCAAATCAATGTAATTGAATCGCAACAAAACCGGCCTGCTTATTTTGAAGCGCCATGTACAATGTAAATTCGGACTATATGTTGCTTTGTGATTCTGCGGCATAGTTATGGTGTATCTCTGAAAACGTAAAGGTGAATGGAAAAGCTAAGGTTAAAATGCAATTGTCATAAAAATTGATATAATTGGAGAATCTGTGAAATTTTGCTTAATTCAAAGTAATCTAATTTCAATAATAATATCAAGATCTGCTGTTCCAGAACGGATCGTTTCTATCATGGCAGAAGAATACAGGTAGATGCATCAACGCTTGGGAGCATTGATATGTCAAAAAAATTTAAATGTTTTTTCAAATATAAGTAGATTTTTTATATGTTTTCTTATACTACGTCATTCGGAGGCTATTATAATTCGCGTTTTTCAACAATTTTTACAAATTTAAATAATTTTTCATTTAACCTTTTCAATTCCAAAATTGGTTTGACAGTTCATTGTCCCAGCAGCTGTGTCGACGCATCTACCTATATTCTTCTACCATGGTTTCTATGCACTAATAACAGAACCTATCATAGCTGTACACCTGCTATTATCTTTACTATCGATAATTATTTGTGTTACCACTTCCTAGTGCATTACCGCTACCACTTACCATTTCATAGAGAGTTACCACTGTTTCCTCTTTCATCGGTTTGTCACTACTGAGTGCAATTTCTTTATTTTAATTTTGATTACTTAAAAAAGGAGACACAAAACTACTTCGAGTATTTGTACAGGGTGGCCCAGAAAGACCGAATTGGTGTGAATTTCTTATAATTTTTTTATTATAGTTCATTTTTTCTTTCAGTATTTTGTAAAGAAGACTTGGGCAATTTATAATAGAGCAACAAACAACTGAACATGATGCCCAAATCAAGAATTTTCAAAGATCCTTGGAATTCCGTAAAACGTGGGACTTTTTAAGAAAATAATAGGTCCTCAGAAGGCCTATTTAAGCAGATTTTTTAAGAATTTTAAAGGTTCCTTAGAAGAAGCAAAAATGTGTATTAAAGGATCCTTAGAAGGGACAGATTGTGCAGATTTTGGACTTAAATGATTTTTAAGAATCTTTTGAAGGTATATAAACTCGAATTTTTCTTCGTCAATTTAATGTCCCGGTAACACCCTCTCAGTCAACAATAAACCGAGTTGTTGTAAATTTTCGACAACAAGGAACAGTAAGGATGCTTCCTGGTTCCGGTAGACTGCGAACTGTCCACACGCTTGACAATATTTAAGTGGTACAGGAGAGTATTCGTGAGGATCCAGAAATATTAAGCAGGAGATGTCAGACACAAATTGGCCTTTCAAGAGAGATGCTGCGGTGAATTTTGCATACCGTAAGAATGTTTCCATACAAAATTCAAATCAGTTCAAGAATTGAAACCGACAGAGTACCAGGAACCACTTGACTATGCAATATATTTCCAGCAAAGAAAAATCCTAATTATAGTCATACCTTAGTTCTGAGTGACGAAACCCTTTTCCAATTAATTGGGTTCGTTAACTAGTAGGATATGGGCTACGAAAAGTCCGAGAGTATTTCATCAGCGACAATTGCACCCAGTTAAGTGTGCTGTTTGCTTCGGAGTTTCTTCAGAAAGGATAATTGACGAGGTGTCGCAATTTCCCCCAGCGGTGATCGATATCGGGCCATTATAGGAAAGTTTGTAAGGTCAGACCTGGAAAATCATCCGTAAATATGGTTCCAACAGGACGGAGCGCACAATGCGTGGGCCACAATGGCTATTTTACGCGTCATCTTTGGTTAAAGATTAACTAGCCTTTGCATTCTACGGATTTAAACGCTCCAGACTGTTCCTTTGGGGTTATTTAAAGGGGTAAATTTATGTTAATAAGCCTGAGACTATTGAGCAATTAATAACCAAATTTTCGTGACAAAATTAACAACATAGCACCGGAAGTTTTGTGAAAGCGTGGACCTAAATATTCAATGTTCCGCCACCGGAGCTAGAATCCATTGTGACCTACAAATCCCACTTTTTAGACAAATCCGTTGAAAAATGCGTCGAAAATCATCAAAATATCGAGTATGCTGATCATGAACGATCAAGTTTTTTTTTCTTAGCAACATTGCTCTCAGCCACTTACCTCATCTACTCCCAATGTATATACATCCGTTGTGCCACACTCGCTCTTTTCCATGGTAAGAATTATTTCGAAACTGTATGACCTCTCTTGGGCGCCAATGAATTTTAACATTGCATCATTGTATGAACTGAACAAAGTGGTGTTGGCGGCATTACAGAATTTTCCCATGGACGGCTGTTTCACCTCAACACTATCGAATACTTCGACAAAGTTACAGGCCGACGAATCATTCGTACATTGGCCATTCTCTGCAGATGAACAATTCGAGAGGCCATCATTGATATCCAATTTTTTAATATCCGTTCGTATGCGATATCCTTTGGGAGCGTTTATGCGATAGAGACACATATACTCTTTGCCATCCCTTGATGTGGCATAGTTACGGGCCAGACTGACGGGTGAGTTGCCATCGGTAAGCGAAATGCGTTCATTGCAATTCGGTATGAAGACAATTTGGCCCTCGAAGCCACTGGCCGCAATTACGGAATCAGAGATGGCATTGATAACGGCTTGGTTGTGATCGACAATGATGGTGGGCAATGTGTCCATTAGGTTGCCCGACAACTGGCTAACACGTTTCTCGCCCAATATAGCATGTCCCGAGTAAACGCTCAAATGATCACGGCGCTCTTCCATGTTGAAATATTTAAAACGCACCACAATGGAGTGATCGGCTGGAGCTGTTACATACCACACACAATTCATATTGTTGGCATATACGTCGAGGTGTTCATGTTTCTGAGGGCGTATGATTTGATGACTATTGGTCACGTTGCCACCACATGTATCGAAGCTGTATTCAAGGCTGTACTCCCCGTTTTCATTGGTCGTCAATCGCAAATAGTTGTAGGCCCTTTCTTCGAATTCTAATTCGCAATGTTTTGTTGCAGGCTGCGTATCACGTTTATACACCATAAAACAGACTCCCTGATTTGAGGACCTTCTATAGCTGAAGGTAGCCGCTGCAGATGTTGCCCTAACCTTGATCAATTATCTTTTTCATTCGACTGAAAGATATATTCACACTGGGTTCTTAGATTGCGATATGGCAAATTTTGTGGCCGGTAAATAGTTTTCACCTCCGAACTGGTGACATTAACCACCAGCGAACAGTGGCTGCGAACAAAGAGGGAGAAACCATCCGCGGTTACGTTTTCATTTGTGCGGAATATTATTTGAATTTGATTGGTGCTGGAATTGTAAATCGGTGGCAGATCTCTGCCACAGTAGCGAACATCTGGTATCCAGAGGCCATCTTCTTTATGTTGTATTTCCACATAATCTCGGCTACAATTTTCCGAGTGCTCCACAAAGAAACGACCGTAGAAGGTCACCTGCAAATAGAAACCTCGTTGGGCCTTAAAGATCCAGAGGCATTCTTCATTATTGCGATAGGTTTGCCGATCCACCTCCACCCGGGTTGAGGCGAAAGTTACCATGGTCTTGGAACCACAGACAATGGTTTTCTTGGCCTCAAAATGGAATTGTGTTTTGGAGTATACATAACTTTCCGCCTGGTAAACCACAAATGAACGGCTATGCTTCAGATTGTAATCGAGTGAGGTGTCTTCACCTTCACCGCGGCAAAGCTTTTTCACGGCATCCGTTTGCCATCTTTGCTCCTTGATTAGGATAAATTCACGTTCACAAGAATCGCTGAATGTGAAATTGCCCACCAAGCGGAATGCAGCGTCTGTGCGTCCATAATAATACGGCCGATTTAGACTCCACACACACATTATAGCACCATAGCCGATATCGCGTATATCCGGCTGTTCAATGGTTAGGCCATCCCTTACCACATAGTTGCCACCGCAAGCATGACGCCGATACGACATGGATAGCTTGACAATTCGTTCGTAATCGGTTTGTATAATTTGCCAAAAACCCACCGGTTGCGATTGTGGATGCAAGACCTGTGTCAGATTTTCCCTATAGCTTGCTATCACCAAATTGTCACGAAAACTCAATGCATTGACCACACGCGGCATTCCGCCAAGTGTTTTCAGCTCAAAGCGGCTAATGTTGAACACCAATGTTTCCGAGGGATTCAAGTTAATTTTCGCTTTACAATAGTAGGGCTGCTGGAAGTTCGGTTGCCAATCGCCTATATCGATGCGGCCTTCGAGCTTGGTTTCATCAATATTTGGCGGACAAAATGACTCGCTGTCGGAGTAGTAGTGAGCCTTGAGGCTCCTATACGGCATCGTCATCGTGGGTATGTAGATACTGACTAGCATAGTATTATCGCTGGACTGAATTATGGTGTTTGGATCATAGCTGTTCATATCGAAGGTTAATATTTTCGATTGCATTTCATGGTCGTTGTAAATGGTAAAGCTAATGGATCTGAAAGAAAGCGGGGAAAGCAGAATGTGGAATAAAAATGGGTTATATTATTGAAGTATGCAATTAATTCAAGGTAACCTCATTTCAAAATATATCCATTGATCTTGGTTAAGTGAATACATAATAAAAGGGAATAGCGGGGCTTCCGACTGTAGATGAGAGAGATTTGTTAAACAAGGGCCTTTTTAATGCGGTCCACATTAAATAAGATAAGAAAATGTGATGAGCAGACCTTCGAGCCATTAGAAATAAATAATAAAGAATATTCAATTCTTGCATGCGGTATATTGAAGATCGAAAACGGGATGTAATATTTACTCAGACGGATAAGCAAGTGCAGCATGTTTGATTGGCACATTTGAGAAAGCTACGCGTGTTTATGACCTCGCCCTAAGATTTATGGTGGAATGGTGCATAGACGTTGGTATCTCCCTCTTTTACACTTAATGCAAATTTAGGTTAAATTATATCATCATAAGTAGTTCTTTAGAAATAAATTTAATAAATCGGTGTCCTGCAACCACTCAATAAGGAAAGGCGTGCTGTCTTTTATGAAACTAAGGATCCCGATTTACATTGCTCATTAAAGCCGGACAATAGAGGATAGCGCGTCGTAGAGATAGTACGTCGAGGAAGTTCAGTCAGCTAGGAATTGTTCCCATACATAGGAAAACTTAGCAGCCTAATAAAAGGATACTGAGTCAGAAAGAGACTTCAGCACAGAAGACAAACTTACCGAAGGGGCTTCATATCTGAGATCTTCAGACAGAAGGGGTGAGGCTTCATGTCCGTATCCCCAGGAGAACGATTCGGTGAAATTGCCGCCAGTGATGAGTTGAAGAAAGGTTTTAACCACGAAGTTGGTCATAAGATGACGGAGTGTGGAAAATTATTTTATTATGAAGGTTGCTGTAGATGCCAATGTTGGTATTAGAGAAAGGATGCAGTTATTGAACGTCGAGGCTTAAAATTGAAGGATGATATGAATGAGTATAAATGTCCTATCTTACAAGATAAACTTCAGAAACTCAAGTCCAAATTGGTGGCTTCTTAGGAAATAGCGCATACAGTAAGAGTTCAAACCAACCTCAACGTAATGTCTTTGGAGGAGGAAGTAAAATAACTTCTTCGGAAAAGGCCCGTAGAGCAGCTGAGAGCAAACATGATAAGTTTAACGTTAAGCTTGAATGTAGTCTGAAGGTGGCTGTAGATCCCAATGTTGGTCTTAGAGAAAGGATGCAGTTATTGAACGTCAAGGTTCAACGAGACTTAAAATTGAAGGATGATGTGAGTGAGTATATGCAGTAAGATTTCAAACAAATCTCAACGTAAAGTCTTTGTGGGAGGAAGTAAAACTGCTTTCGGAGAAGGCCCGTAGAGCAGCTGAGAGCAACAATGATAAGTTTAACATTAAGCTTGAATGTAGCCTGAAAGTTGCTGTAGATGCCAATGTTGATCTAAGAGAAAGGATGCAGTTATTGAAAGTCAAGGTTCAACGAGACTTAAAGTTGAAGGCTGACTTCTTCGCAGAAGGCCCGTAGAGCAGCTGAGAGCAAAAACGATAAATTAAACATTAAGCTTGAATGCAGCCTGAAGGTTGCTGTAGATGCCAATGTTGGTCTTAGAGAAAGGATGTAGTTATTGAACGTCAAGGTCAAATCGAAGGATGATGATAATGAATATAACTGCGGTGTCCTACAAGATCAAGTTCAGGAACTCATGTCCGGAAATAGACCATGCAATAAGATTTCAAACAAATCTCAGCGTAAAATCTTTGGAGGAGAAAGTAAAACGGGTTTCGGAAATGCTGATTTAACTTAAAATCGAAGGATGATGTGAATGAATATAAATGCCATGTCCTACAAGATCAAATTCAGAAACTCCGAATTGGTGTCTGCTGAGGAAATAGAGCATGCAGTAAGTGTTCCCACAAATCTCAACCTAAAGTCTTTGTAGGAGGAAGTAATATTGCTTTCGGAGATGCTGAATTCTTCAGAGAAGGCCAGTAGGGCAGCTGAGAGAAAATACGATAAGTTTAACATTAAACTTGAATATAGCCTGAAGGCTGCTGTGGATGTCAATGTTGGTCTTAGAGAAAGGATGCAGTTATTGAACGTGAAGGTTTAACGGGACTTAAAATTGTAGGATGATGTTCTACAAGATCAAGTTCAGCAAATCAATCCGATTTAGAGGCTTCTAAGGTAATATTGCATGCAGTAGGAGTTCAAGCAAATCTCAAGTAAAACTGCTTTCGGAAAGGATGACTTCTTCGCAAGGGCCCGTAGAGATACTCAAAGCAAACAGACTTGAAGTAGAGGAATCTATTACTGAGGTTGTAGTATTGGGGGAAGAACAAGAATCAAATCCTGGAGACTTGAATGGAAAGGTATCAACCACTAAAGAATCGAAGTGCCAACAGAAGCAAAACGCCATGTCGAAACCGAAAAGTAGAGGAGTCAAGGATGAGCCGTATGCCAAAGAGATGAAGACGAATAAAGATGGTCATTTACCACACTGGAGTATTAAGATGCTCAAGGAAGCACAAGTTATCACAAGAAAATGAAAATGCCTAGTGGAAGTCATGTAACTGGAAAAAAGGCAGGCTGGGGTGACAGGAAATTATGCGCTTGCAACGCTGGAACGACAATCTGTCCAAGGTCTGTAAGATGGCACTACCAGAGAAATATCACACTATTGCTTCCAGAAAGAAAACGACATATGTAGACGGTTCAGCTTGGAAATTGAAGGCGGCGGACAAAGCAGCTCTGGGATCTTCAAAAGAGACCGAATGAAAAGATGGAGGAGCTACATGGGTGATATCACTTAGCAAACTTCTCTTATAATTTTTAATAACAATTGTCTGTTCCAGAACTGCAAGAACGTAAATTTTTTTTACTACGATAACCGATTTTCCTTTTATGATATCGAAAAAAATGCAAAACTAGTAGATTCTTGCAGGTTCTGGAACAATCCTAATATTTTCCCATGCTTCATATTTTCCTTCCAAGAATGTTGACGGATACATGAACATGTTTCTATAACAAAACAAAAAAAAAAAAAAAAAAAAAAAAAAAAATTCGGGGCCAACTATTGTAGACATTTGAAAATGTAAATAGGAAAAGACAAATAAACCTTTCGAATTTCGATAAAATTTTGGGATTTTTTTCGATTTCCGATTTTTTTCACTTTCGAAAAATATTCAGGTTTTTATGCATTTCAGAAGAAGCCGAATTTCCTCACAACATTTTACTCACCTGCTTTCATTTTGCACTTCAAAATCGCCCATATTTAGGAACTCCAAACGCACTCTCAAACCCTTCGGCACGGTCATTTTCCAACGACAGTAACTGGAATAGAATGATCTACGCGGGAAACTCAATGTTATTGGACCTGATACACCCTCCATTTCCTGATGACATTGGCCGCTAAAGCGATTAAATTTTATTTGGAAACCATGATATAGAGTGGCTCTGGCAGATGTATGGAAACGGATGATGGCCTTGTTGACATTCAAATCGATTTGGGTTCCCCTTGTGGCATTGCCGAACACAAATACCGATGGTATAGTTTCATTGACCTCGGCTGGAATTATGGGTATAATCTCCAAATAATCTTTGCTTTTGGGAAAATTGTGATTAAACGGTAAATTTATGTTCAGTAGGATTAGACGTATTCTAGTGTCCGCTGGTTGGCTGATGACGTAGTCGCATTCACTGTGTGCGGGATAGGCGCCGGGTTGGGGATAGCCGGGAGAGGTAATTATTTCACTCGAGGCTGTGAAGGTTCCACCACATTTGCCAATCGATAGCTGTACCTTGAAGCCGGCCCTGGGTTCACTGACATCGGTCAGATAGTGGATATATAATAGATTCTGTGTGGTTTTCAAGGGCGGTGGGGTGCGGCAATATTTTCCCAAACTCTTGGCCAAGGCAGTGGCACCATCGAATAGCTCAACATACTCCCGGTCACAGTATTTGGTATTCATGTGGAAATCATCGAAGAACTTGATATCGATTAGTTCTCCACGCGGTGCCATTACTCTCCACTCACACTCCGTGTGGGGCGGTGGTACATTGGGATAATTCGGTGAGGTAATATTGATGCTGTTCGCCTCAGGTATCAAGCGATATTCTTCATTGCATGTCGAGTATTCGCGATAGGTGAGATTCCAGCGCCTCGACATGATTGGTCTGGGCAGGGCTAACTTGTATTGGATGGCCAGATAATTGCTGCTGGAATTCATTTGGATTTGGCTAACATTTTGTGGGATGCATAGTTTTGCCGGGTGGCAAGAGTGGTGCATGCCTATCAATGCCATCATAAATCAAGACATAATCAAGACATTCTGGCGGATTTTTCACTATGGCTGGAGCAAAGTCAAACTGTAGGAGTATACGTTTGCCCGGTCGAACTCGAATGCGCCAATGGCAATCGGTTTCATAGAGAAGTTTCTCTCCCTCTATGAAACCCACCGATTGGGTTAAATTTGAACCACATTTTGTAATAATCCGAGCAGCGAATCCCTTGCCCTTAATCGATACGTCTGTAACAAAATCCAATTTCAGATTAGGTGTACCATTATAGATGCGATACGGTGTATATGTCTTGTCGGGACTATCGCAAAGTTTGGCTTCTTCATGCCACTGCACCAGATCACTGGACGTAGATATTTTCAAGTAATCGGATGTACAGGCACTAACATTTTCCAACTTAACCTCATACACCTCACAGACCACATGCTGGGTACTCAGAAACGGCTTAAAAATCCAATCACAGGCCAGATTATTATCATATTTTGAAGGATAATTTGGTGAATAGATCATAACACTGGCATGAGGTTTTATCAATCTATCCACGTGACACTTGGATGTGGTGACATTCGAGTCGACAACTGTCACATTTGTGGTGTTCCATGATATTTGAAAATAATTGGGTTTCAATGTCAGTTTCGAAGTACAGGACATTCGAGCTGGATACAAAACGCCAGGGAGCATCGGAAATTTCGATGGGCAGAGCTGTAGAGTCATAGCCGTCGTAGAGCTGTAAGGTGAGGAGAGAGAGAGAGAGAGAGTGAGTGAGTGAGAAAGTAAATACCTTGCTTCATTTGGTGGCGACCATTAAAAGGTCGTAACAAACAATGAGACACGATTTTTGGTAAAAAATTAAAAAAATTGTAGTTGTTGATGGTTTTGTGAATGAATGTAAATTTTGACCGAAAGGAAAGAGAGTTTTTAGAAAAGAGAGCCGAAGAAAAATTGATATTTAGCTCATTTTACCATAGACAAATTAGATATAGACTAAAAAGTTGTCTCATCTGTTATCTTTGAAAAAAGTGATTCAATAGATGTCGTTCATGCTGTGAGAGAGGTTCAGTGGACTCACTCAATTCTCTCAAAATACAAAATATTAAATATTTTTATGATTCTTTATTATTTATCAATTATAAACGAAACATCGACTTTGTTTACTTTTACATTATCCAAATATGTCGTGAAATATAAAAATATGGTACTTAAATAGCAGAAAAATGAATAAATTGTTTTCGAAGTCGAGTGACTTCACTAGCCCTGAGTGACTTGACTGGCCCACGATCAACAATAGTGACATCTGCCGGAAGGGAAATTTTTAAAACTTTTTAGTCTATACCTTTATTTGTCTATGATTTTACTCCCTTCTTTCTCATAACCTTGTATACCCTCAGTTATATGGCTACAGAGGGTATATATAATTTGATAAGGCCAATTCATCGAAATAACGGTTTTAGATCTTAGGTCTCTTTGGACCAAATCTGTTTCAGGACATTTGGAGTCGATCTAGCGATGTCCGTCCGTCCATCCATCCGTCTGTCTGGCTGGCTGGTGCGCACGATAACTCTCGAAGGGAGAATCCGATTTGATCCTATCTTTATACATCGGAATATTTTTATTAAACTTAGATCGAGTTCGGAGATGAGCAACATCTTTCCATTCCTTCTGGTACCTCCCCCACAAAATGTAAACATTTTCAAAGAAAATAATTTAATGCACACAAAAAGAGAGGACAATCCGATTTTTCTCCAACTTTGCAAATCCTTATATTTGCATCAGTGCTAGGTCAGGTGTGATAATCTACAATATCGGTCCACTCCATCAAATACCTCCCCCACAAAGGGTTAAAATTTTGAATAATTTTGACTTTTATAAAATGTGATTTAAAAGTCCGATGGTCTTCAAATTACACAAATCACAATATTTTTTTTTTAACCCAGGGTCTAGTGTGAAAAGGGATGATATCGGCCCATTCCTTCTGGTATCTCCCCCACAAAGAGTCAACATTTTGAATATTCATGAAGCTTATAAAACACGAAATTAACATCCGATTCCATTCAGTCTTGGCTCATCTCATTATTTCTATCAAAACAAGGTCTGTTATAAAAATGGTGGAAATCCGTCCATTCCGCCTGGTACCTCCCCCATAAAGGGTAGAAAATTTTGAATAACCAAAACGATCATAAAATCTGAAATAAGTATCCGGTCCTCTTCAAATTTCGCATATCCCATTATTTCTACTAATACAAGATCTGCTGTGAAGATGGAATTTATCGTTCCACTCATTCTGGTATCTACCCCCCTCCCCCCCCAAAGGTCAAAATTTTGAATATCAATGAAGTTTATAAAACGCGAAAATAACATCCGATTCCATTAAGACCTGGTATATCTCAATATTTCTATCAACACAAGATCTGTTATAAAGATGGTAGATATCTGACCATTCCTTCTGGTACATCCCTCACAAAGGGTCAACATTTTGAATAACCAAAACGATCATAAAATCTGAAATAAGTATCCGGTTCTCTTCAAATTTCGCAAATACCATTATTTCTACTGACACAAGATCTGCTATGAAGATGGAATTTATCGTTCCACTCATTCTGGTATCTCCCCCCCCCAAAGGGTCAAAATTTTGAATATCAATGAAGTTTATAAAACACGAAATTAACATCCGATTCCATTCACACTTGGCACATCTCAATATTTCTACCAACACAAGGTCTGTTATAAAAATGATGGAGATTGGACCATTTCGTCTGGTACCTCCCGCACAAAGGGTCAAATTTTTGAATAACCAAAACGGTCATAAAATCTGAAATAAGTATCCGGTTCTCTTCAAATTTCGCAAATCCCATTATTTCTACTGACACAAGATCTGCTGTGAAGATGGAATTTATCGTCCCACTCAATCTGGTATCTCCCCCACAAAGAGTCAAAATTTTAAATATCCATGAAGCTAATAAAACACGAAGTTAACATCCGATTCCATTCAGACTTGGCACATCTCAATATTTCTATCAACACAAGATCTGTTACAATGATGGTAGATATCGGACTATTCCTTCTGGTACCTCCCCCACAAATAGTCAAATTTTTGAATAACCAAAACATTTATAAAATCTGAAATAAGTATCCAGTTCTCTTCAAATTTCAGACATCCAAACATTTTTACTAAGACAAAATCTGTTATGAAGATCATAGATATCTGCCAGTCGTTGTTTCGATGGGGCACGTTTTGCCGTATCTCTCTAGCCATATGGCTGAGTTTATAATAAAATATGTCGTAATTAAAAGTCATAAGGAATTCACACCACTTCACACCTTCTGGGCCACCTCAAAAACAAAGCATCTGATTTACACCGCCAGAACAGGGAGAAAACAACCCTTCTTATTTCATATGGGGACCCCGAGCTTACCTCAGCCGACCAGAAAACAACATTACAGAGTTTAGTTCTCTTGCTCAACTCTCTATTTCATCAGGTTGTAGTATCGATTCCGAAATACGAAATTTTAAATAATTTCGGTAAATAATGTCACCTAAATGATCGAAGTAACGAATAAAGGGAGATATCGTTTTGTGAGGCCTATACGAAGACTTGGACCTGCCTAAGTAATTTTCTGCCACAGGCTGTAGTTTCGATTCCGAACTTCTAATTCGAAATTTGAACAATTTCGTTCTATAATGTCCATGAAGCTAATAAAACACGAAGTTAACATCCGATTCCATTCAGACTTGGCACATCTCAATATTTCTATCAACACAAGATCTGTTACAATGATGGTAGATATCGGACTATTCCTTCTGGTACCTCCCCCACAAATAGTCAAAATTTTTGAATAACCAAAACATTTATAAAATCTGAAATAAGTATCCAGTTCTCTTCAAATTTCAGACATCCAAACATTTTTACTAAGACAAAATCTGTTATGAAGATCATAGATATCTGCCAGCCGTTGTTTAGATGGGGCACGTTTTGCCGTATCTCTCTAGCCATATGGCTGAGTTTATAATAAAATATGTCGTAAATTAAAAGTCATAAGGAATTCACACCACTTCACACCTTCTGGGCCACCTCAAAAACAAAGCATCTGATTTACACCGCCAGAACAGGGAGAAAACAACCCTTCTTATTTCATATGGGGACCCCGAGCTTACCTCAGCCGACCAGAAAACAACATTACAGAGTTTAGTTCTCTTGCTCAACTCTCTATTTCATCAGGTTGTAGTATCGATTCCGAAATACGAAATTTTAAATAATTTCGGTAAATAATGTCACCTAAATGATCGAAGTAACGAATAAAGGGAGATATCGTTTTGTGAGGCCTATACGAAGACTTGGACTGCCTAAGTAATTTTCTGCCACAGGCTGTAGTTTCGATTCCGAACTTCTAATTCGAAATTTGAACAATTTCGTTCTATAATGTCACTAAAATCATCAATATTGTTAGGAGATACAATATTGCCCCCATCATACTAAAACGTGGACCGACATGGCCCGTATTCGAACTTAACCTGCCTACTGGTAAGATACACATGTGTGCAGAATTTTTGCCTTATAAAAATTACTTATCCACGGCCATATAACGGTTTTCATTTGCGTCTTATTTTTCGGCCGCATTTTTTTAATCTTTCAAATTCCTTCCAAATGCTGGAGGTTTCGGTCCGGAAATTCTCTGTTTTTTACCTAGGTTTGCCTTACCTTCAAGCCATCGAGATAGGTTTTAAAATACAATGCCACAAACTGCTGCCTTGGAACCAAGATGCGCCATGCAAAAGTCTCATCCTCATTACGCAGCAATGATGTGGGAGGTGATTCTATGAGACCCCTTGTTTCATTCACATATTCGGTAAGATGAGCTGAAACAAAGAGAGAGAGAGAGAGAGAGAAATAGTATTTCCCAAAAAATGCGATTCCTCCCCCCCCCCCCCCCCCTTTTACCCTTACCATAACTCCATTTCAATTTAAAACCTTTGCCACTGCTTCCCTCGGAGCTACGAAATTTGAGCCACATGGAATCTTTTGATTTTAGAATTTCTTCCGGCACAGCGTTACCACAATATATGGCCAAGGCCTTTGAGCCCAACCATGAACGTATCTCCAAAAAGTCCTCATTGCAATGTTCACTCGCGGCCATATCTAAATCATCGAATTCGATTTGTATAGTATTGCCCAATTTGGCTGTTATCGTCCAAATACATTCAATATTTCCCGCATAGGGCAAGGGATAGTTGGGCGATGTCAGGATACCACGTGCCGCTGTTATTGTGCCGCCGCATGAATGTTGTGTTGTCGAATAGGTTGCACGAAAATTTATACCATTCGTGTAGATATACAGTTGGGTGCTTTCGAAAATCATATGTGATTGAAATTTTCACATATTAGATCCGTATAAGTTTGCGGATTCTCATTGTTTGTGCTGAGCTAAAAGAAAAAAATTGGGAAAAATGTATTTTAATTGCATATATTAGGTGTGTGTATACCGGTGTCTGAATGGAGGGGGAAATATCGATATTTGGAATTTTTTTTTCTCACCATGACATCCGTTTACCAGCCGATGTCACCGATTTGAACCTTTACTTACCTCACCTATACCAACTTACTAAATTATCTCAAGTCCTCATTTTTCTCTCGGTTTTGCCTTCAGATGTAAACGGTGAGATGAAAAACAGCAAAAAACATCAGACTGCTGTCATTTCTAAGCCACTATTCCGACAGCAGTGACAGCTCATTATATTGTTTACAAGCGTACAAAGCATTTTGGTGAGAATTTTCCAGAAGAAAAGTTATTCGTGATGGAATTCAAGCGATTTCTTTATATTTGGCTGGAAAACCACAAGTGGATATCGTGAGGGCACTCCAGCATTTAAATGTGAATAAATCTTTTGTGTCTCGTACCACACTCGTTACCGTGATACTGGTAGCGTAGTCCGACGTCAAGGAAGTGGACGGAAGAAAACAGCAACATCAGCAGAAATGGTTAGAAAATTAAAGAAGCGACTTGATCGAAACCCCGCGTCGCAGTGGCCGAAAAATGGCTCGTGAGCTAAACATATCGCAATATTCCATTCGGCAAATATTGAAAAACTGAGCTCTCGGGGTAAAGCCATTGAAATTCCAAAAGTGCAAGAACTTACACCGCAACTGAAAGAAAATAGACTCAAAAGAGCTAAAGAATTGCTTCGCTTGGCCGAAAGTGGTGAACTGCCGAATTTGATTTTCTCCGTATCCGATGAGAAAACATTCGTTGTCCAGCAGTTTGTAAACAAACAAAATGATAGTGCTTACTTGCCAATGAGGTCAGCTGAAAATGTGCACCTTCGGTTGGCCACCAAAACTCAAGCGCCAACCATGGTAATGGTGTGGGCCGCCATAACAGCCGATGGTCGCTCTTCGCTTGTATTAATCGTCCGTGGCATCAGAATAAATGCCGAATATTATCGCGAAAATATTCTGGAGGGTGTATTAAAGCCTTGAGCATGCAAACATTTTGGGCGCAGATCTTGGACATTCCAACCGGACTCAGCACCATCGCACTCACACGCGCCACTCAAGAATGTTTGCAAAATGAGGTTCCTCGTTTTATTTCCAACGCACAATGGCCACCAAAATCTTCGGATACCTATCCGTTGGACTATTGTGTCTGGAGTATTTGGAAAGCAAGATTGGCACTAAAAAATAGTGTCGATCACCTCAAGCAAGCTCTTCACCGGGAATGGGCCAAAATATCGCAGAACAACATTCGTTGGCCGTTTGAAGGCCATAATTCATGACAAAGGTGACCAATTCAAACAAATCTAAACTTATTCTAAAATTTGATGCTATTTCCGACATTTAAAAAATGTAAAAATGATGGCGTTTGACTGTGTTGCAGTTTTTTTTGTTTCACCCTGTACATCTGTCGGTAAAACCGACTGATACTTTTTAACTTGTTTCAATCAATACCGAGAGGAAAATATTTCTAATTCCGAGCAATATTTTTCTGTCCACGAACAGCAGCATAGGTTAGGTTAGGTTGAAAAAAGGGCCGAAGCAAGCCAGTATGGGCCTGTTGTGTGCTCTAGACTAAGGGTTTTGAAGAAGGCGGGCAGTTTACAGTCTATTATGTTTGAAATTCAGTCACCTTTATGAAGCTTCTTAACTGTCTTATTTCATTTACCATGGTCTGATTAGGTCTGGTATGGGGTTGTTCCTTAAGAATTGGGATCTGATATTGCAACGCTGGGCATTGGCAGAGAAAATGTTCCAATGTTTCGTCATCTTCCCCATATGCCCTGCATATGCTGTTTTCTGCACATCCTATCGTGTACATATGAGCTTGTAGGTCCAGGTGCCCCGTAAGGATGCCTATTACCTCACTGATCTCTTTTTACCTAGTAATAACTGGTTCTTCGTTTTTATCTCATCGGGATCGCCCCATAAGATTTTCGTGGTTTTCCCTCCACCCTACACCAGCATAACAATCCAGCTGTTTCCAGTAAACACCCACATTGACATTTTCATATCGATTTCTCAAAAGCTTTCCAGGATTTTGTAAAACATCAAAAAACTTAATTAGCTACTTACCCCCAGACCGCGGGTTCCACAACTTTTGTTCCATTCTCGGTTTCGAACAAAAACAATCCAACTCCAAAATGTTAAGGAAATTGAATTTCCTGAAAAAAATATAAAACTAAAACCAATGATTATACTCGCCAAAGCAATATTCGTGCTATAATAAAGAAGGTATCCTCTTTCCTCATATCCTCTTGCAAAACAGATTCCCATCTCTGGTTTGGTGTATATAATGAAGATTTATGAATATACTTTTTTTTACAGTGAGATGATTACACAAGGTTACCTTCTTAATTCTAGCACGGCAATAACCTACCCTTCGCCACAGACAGAGTCCAAAAACAATCTTCATTCGATGCGGCCACAATTAAACCAGAATCCATTTCTAACTTCCCACCGCACATGCTTCGGTAGAGTAACATAAATCGGCTTCCATATAGAGATTTTTGATTCTTGTACTCGATAGTTACCCGACTGCTATTTAACATAAAAAGTCCTCTGTCCAGAGAACATATTTTGCTAACATTTGTCACAGTACGTTCGGAGGATTCCTCTGCGATTTTCAGATAATTATCTTCACAATTTTCCGACTGATTAAATTCCAATTCTTTTATCGTCAGATAAATGACATTCGCATCGGCTACACTGATGTCCCATTTACAGCTGAGTTCCTCGGTTGTGTTTCGCGGGTAGCTGGGCGAATATAACCAGCCAGAGGTAACTCTGAGCACTCCGCCACAGGTTGCATCTCGTGTGTGATACATGGCTTTGAAGAATTTCCGACCTCTTGAAGGACCCGCTTGATATTGGACATACAGACGATTCATTGGCGAATAGATATTTGTTATGGGTTGTTGGCTGATGCAGTAATGCATAAGGGTGTATGGCGAGGTCTTGGATTCCTTTACAGTTATACTGTCCAATGAGCAGTTGACGTGCTCATAATCCCCCTGGCATTCAGTGACAGTGAAAACTATCTGCTTGCCAGCCGGTACCTCTATATACCACTCACATTCCAGGCCTCCACTGAAGGGATAATTTGGTGATGCAATTGTTCCAAATTCGTTGGTCAATACTTCGCCACAGCCAACTCGTGTGTACTCGGCCCGAAATCCGTTTTTATTATTCGAGTAGTCCGTGACAAGTCGCACTCTCAATTGATTTCCCTCTGAGGTGATTACATCACTCGGCCGACTACAGAGATGGTATTTTTTCAAGATGTCCTCATCCTTCATATCCCACACTTCGACATAGTCATTTTCACATTCCAGGTCGGAGGTTTCCAAACTGAAGTGAGAAAATGCCAATTTGATGTGATTATTCAAGCCGGCCTTAATGTCCCAACGGCAATCCAATAGCTCTGGATAAGGTTCCGGAAAGTTGGGCGATTCAATGATACCCTGTACATGATCCAGAACCGTTTTACAATATGTTTCATAATCGATAACGAAGTCCGTGTAATCTTCTCCAACATTGAAGGCTGTATAAACGACAAGCATTTGATTATCGCTTGAAAAGAACAATTCTTCATTCTTCTCCATGGGCCTTAAACAGGGCTGATTATCAAAGGGTTTTGAAGTTGTTGACCCCTGATAAATACGTAAATTATTACGACGGCAAAAATCCTCCGGATTTGTCAAGTATGTTAGTTTGAGCTGAATCCCAGAACCCTCCGCCACATGAATCAACCAATCACATTTTACACCGATTTCCTCAGATGTTGCAACCAGTGGGGAGTGTATGGAACCCTTATGGGATGTCAGCTTACCGCCGCAACCCGTCTCCATTTGTTCCCATATTATATGGAATCCCGGAGCCTCAACCGTACTGTCTGTGGTGAAGCGTAAATACAAGCTATTGCCAAATGAGGGTATTCTAGAGGAATTTCTTGACCGCAATAACGGCCAATTAGAGGTGAGTCGGGAAATTTGCCATTCCTGTAGAGAAAAATTAAAATGTACGATTTTAGAGGAAGGCAGCAAAACATATGAGGGTGAGCAAATGGCGAGAGTTTTTATTGCGTGTTTACCTAATCTCCAGTATGTCTCCTGTACATCCGGTTCCAGCGTAAAGTTTTGCACCCGCAACTCCATTTTATAGCCCATTGGTGCCGAAATAGTCCAACACAATCCAAATTGGCCGAATACAAACGTGGCCAGTTGGGGATATTAATGACGCCATATAAGGCCACCATAGTTACCCGCCGCTGCTAGTAATTAATGGGAGAAAGAAAAGATATGAGAATCAAGGCCTATGTAAAGGTAGGACGAGAAGTCTACTTTTGATTTATGAGCTTCATGCATACTCAAAAATTTGACCCCTCGTGGAGGGTGGGGGATATTAGAAAGAGTGGACCAATGTATCGCATCTTCACACCAGACCTTGGGTTAATAAAAATATTGTGATGTGTGTAATTTGAAGAGAACCGGATGCTTATTTCGAATTTTATGATCGTTTTTGTTATTCAAAACCTTGATCCTTGGTCAAAAGAGACCTAGGGTCTAAACCCATTATTTCGATGAGCCATATGACGGAGGGTATAAAAAACAAGTAAAAAAGTTGTAATTTCGGCCGGGCCGAACTTTGAATACCCTCCACCATTTGGAAAAAAATTAGCAATTTTCAAAAAAAAAATCCGTAAAAAATTATGTTAAGATCTTAAAAATACCGAATGTAGCCGTTATATTAGGGTCTAAACGATGACATGGACCTGCATAGGCAACTTTTGTCAAAAGCCAATACAATATTCAAATGCGAAACTTGAAAAAAATCGCTGAATGATTAACTAAAATCATCAAAAACCGATTATAG